AGATGAACACTTGTTACGTTGCAGCATAAGTTTAGATTGCAGCTCAGTCAGAACCTGATGTATATTGGACATGCTACATGTAGAACCAGCTAGTAATGTAATCATAAGCTAGACAGACTTTTTCCTTGATAAATAACCTTATTTTCAACTATTTACAACATCTCACAGGTTGGTCAGTCAGTTAAAGCAGAAAGTATCGAAAAGCACTCGCAATCTAAAACGAGGAATTAAGAGGAATTTTTAGTAAAGAACCTAATATAGACTACCGCACATGGACTACATAACACGTTATATCCATTTGTGATGTACACTTCACTATCTCTCAAAACCGATAATCATTTTGCCTATGCACCAAACGATGAGTTTGAAAAGAATTTTAGCGCTCAAGTGTTAGCGACATTTTCCCACTTTGAGTTATAATTGGATTGCAGAGGAATTTCTCGAAAACTTCCAATTTTAGCTAGTGGCAAGTGGCATAATCACTAGCTCAAGGTAAAACGTACCTATAAAGGAAAGATTGTTGTTTTCGGCAAATTTCGACGCGACTTCAGTTGGGACAGCGCGAAAATGTCGTAGGTCAAGTTTGTTCCCGACCAACATAACCGATACGCTTTCATTGGAATACTCCCGCAACTCTCGAAGCCATCGTTCACACGAGTCAAACGTACCTTGTTTGGCTGGAATGCAATGGTATTTGTCACGGAAACATAAAAAGCGCTTAAAAAGCTTTTTTATGAGAAAGTTTCTTAACTGAGTATGGTGATCATAAACTCACATACATATGTCATAAACTAAGAGAGCTCCAACTGCTCCTCTGTAGTAGGCCGACGTGATGGCGCGGTAGCGTTCCTGACCAGCTGTGTCCCATATTTGAGCTTTTATTAATTTATCATCAATCTGCAATGAAAATCATTTCGTAGTCTTGAAGACATGGACGCATTTTCTTCAGCACCATAATTAGTATGGGCTAGCTACAATACATGTTTGAAGTTTGGTAGTACTGTAGTATTTATCATCCTGTGACTGATAGCCTCACAACATTTCTAAAATACAATACGTTAAGATATATATTTGTTTAGCTCTTTACCATATTCGGGAATAGAAAGTGAGATTCGAAAAGAGGAGTCGTTTGGTACAGAACAATCTACCAAAGGAAGAACGTAAATGTACTTTATAACCATCCTACTACTGCTCTCTCTTCATCGTAGTTGCAATGGCGCTATATGCCACCGCACGTAACTTAGCGATCAATTCGTTTAGCACTTTTAAAAGTTTTCAGTCCTTCTAGCGCCCAATTTGAGGGAGTTACGGTTACAGACAAGGAATTATTAATTCTGAAAATGGGTATAATGTCTTCAAAGGAAGAAGACGTTTCTAGAATTTGCAACGGAGTGTCAAACTTCTTGGGCAAAATTCAGTGAAAACAACTTGCTTGTCCTTGAGAAAAAGAAATTACGTCTGTGTTGCCAGCAACAGCAAAAAACTCAAAACTGTCGTTGAAGCTTTCATCGATAACCATAAGTTGAGACTCCTTTTTTGGAAAACTTAAACTTTGGAAATGGTAGAAAAAAATTATTTAGGCTCGAACGCATAATTTCAATTGAATGATT